GGCCCACTGTCAGAGGAGGTGCCCGCTGATACAGAGCCACGTTCATGGGCATGTCACCTACGAGATGAGGCTTTACCCTCCTTGGAGCAACAGACAGAACCTCCTGTCTGAAAGCCTAAGAGACAGGACTCTGCCACCGGGGTGCCCACCGTGGGATACCTCTGGGGCCTTCATGCCCTGGTGCTGCAGGCTGGTCTCTCTGGGAGGGCGCTTGCCAGGCTGCCCAGTCTCTTTTGTCTGGAACAGACATGGGGCCCCAGGGGCCAGGTGGTCAGGCCAGCCTGACCTAGGGAAATCTGCATTTGCAAAACAGAAAGGAGGGGGTGCTAGAGCTTTACAGAGGAACTGAGCTCTGAGATCTTTTGAGCTCTGAGATCTATCCCTGAAGGTAGGATAGAAGGTGATCTTCTTTAAAAAAAAAAAAATGTCTTTTAAAGTGCTAGGAGAGCCACACTTCCCAGAAATCTCCGTGGAGATTTCTACCTGCAGCTACCCACCTACCGAAGACACCGACCGTTACACGTCCAGCCCTGTCCCAAAAGGTCAGGGCTGCCGGCTGCAGGGCCCTGAACTGGCTAAGTGAGGGCTGGGCCCTTGCCCTGGGGCCCTACAATACACAGGGTGCTGGAATGGGCCCCTGAGGATGCCACCCCACTCCACCCCCATCACCTGGAGGGATGCCTGTCCCTCTGCCCCTCACCTTTGGCAGCCAGCAACTTGGCAGGCACGCCCCTCCCTCCCCCGTGAACTTCATGGACTTCTTGAAGGGCTTTTCCCAGACTGGGCCTGGCCCGTTCCTAAGTCAGAATGGGTTAACCATTGACTAGGGGAGAGAGGGCAAAGCCAACTTATAGGTTGTTAGAAAAGACCCAGAGCACCCTCCCCCTCGGCCCCCGGTGGCTCCTCTCCTCCCTGGATGAGGTTGGGGTCCTCTGGACAGGAACAAGAAGCTGGTCTTGTCCAGCAGACAGAAACATCCTCCAGGCTTGGGGGGCGCAGGGGCGTCTCCAGTTCAGCAGGAGTTCATAGAATGGGCTCAGGAGTGAAACTTTCCCAGGAGGCGTCCCAAGGGGGGCCTGGAGGGACTCCAAGAGGCCAGTGGGGTGGGTCCTGTTTCCCACCTACAGAGACGTGGGGGGCCACGGGGCTGGGTTCTCTCACCCAGTGGGCTTGTCAGCCACGGAGGCAGAGCCGGGTGCCTTGGCTGGGGGCTGGGCTGTGGATTCCCCACCCACCTGTCCTCTCCCTGTACCTGTAATCCTGACTGCTCCGGGCTGGAGGCGAGACCTTCCCTGGAGAAGATGCAAGCGTAGGAGCTGCCTGGGAGGCTGAGTCGGAGCAAGGTGGAGGTGTCTCCAGGGTGCCGCGCTGGGCAGGGCCCCAGCCAGAGAGGCGGGCGGGAGCAGCTGCAGGTCAGGTGCAGGAGAAACAGGTGTCAGAGCGAGGCCCTGCGCCCACTGAGGTTCCAGGAGTCAAGGTGAACCTGAAACCCAGCCCCTCCCGGCTAAGTAAACAGAAGCAGAGACCAGTTCAGGTGATGAATATTCATCACATCAGAAACCCAACCCCAGGGCCCCTGTATTCACCCAGTACCCAGGGTCCTCCAGGGACCCGCCTAACTGCAGGAGGAAACCCCAAGGGGAGTCCAGGAGTGGGCAGGGGGCTCTCTCCTCAGTTTACCCACACTGAGGCCACCTGGTGGTGTCCCCCAACTATAGCCAAAGTCACCCCCAACCATCCCATTGCCAGCATAGGCTCAGGCTCCTCATCGGCATGACCCTGCCCCACCCTCCCCGCCTGGCCGTTGCCTGGGGCACAACCTGGAAAGGGTTAAGAGCCCATGCAGTGCACGGAGGCGCAGAGGTGCACGCTGTGAGCGGGCAGGACGGGGTGCACCCAGCCGCCTTTGAACTTCCTGAGCCGAAACCAGTCCCTGGTTAAACTGGTTGGCAGACCGGTTCCCGGACGTCTGCTCCCCTGCCTGAAGTGGGCGGGGCAGGCTCTGGGGCCTACCTGGCCTGAAGGCCCTCCCTCAAGGCCCCCCCTCAAGGTCCCCCTGGGGTGGGAGAGAGGTGGCACTTCTCTAACCCACCAAGCTCTCAGTCACCCTGTGGCCTCACGCCTGAGGACCCAGGGACAGGGTCTTTTCTGCAGACTCCCCCACCCCACCCCACCGGAGGACAGGAACTGCCTCTCACACCAAGGACCACTGCCTTCCACTGCCACAAACTCCGGGCAGCCCCCCGGAAGGGCCTTACTGAGCTAGGAAGTTGGCAAAACCCAGAGCAAGTATTCAGGGCAAGGTGGGCTGGGTGTGG